GTGCGGTGGCGGCGCTTCGCTGAACCCCGCTCCGGGGACCCGCGGCGTCAGGGCCGGGAGGTGCGGGTGGCTGTGGCGGCCGTCCAGGCTGAATTCCTGGCGACCGTCCATGTCGATCCGGCGTGTCTTTCAACTGAAGACCTTCAACTTGACTCACGAACTGGGGTTCTCCGGACAGCTCGGTCTACATCCAGGCCGTCCCTGCAAACACAAAAGGCGGTTTGTTAGCCGCTGAAACACGATATGTTTGACGTGCAAACATGTCATCATCATACGGACTCCCTGGCAGAGCCCACCTTCATTAAAAAATAAAGGAAAACTCGAGGCAACGAAGACCAGCTGATAATCATGAAGCTGCATTAACCCTGAAGACACGGCAGGGGATCGGGAAGGCGGTCACATTCTGAGTTGTAGGAGGGAACGCAGGAGGCTAGAACGCGGGGTTCGTGTGATCGAGGATCGGATCCATCGTAACTGACACTGACGGTGCGCAATTTGGCCAAACGGGAAAACATGCTGCAAATCACCGACGGTTGCGCCACCCGTACAGTCAGGTCCCACAGATAAAACAGGAAAAAATGCGCAGGAACATTAGACACATTCGAGCGGCACGGTTGTCCTTGTGCGAGAGGTCAACAGAAGATGCGCTTCTTGCATGCAGAATAGGGTGTATTGCATTGTAATGAATACAGCAGGTCTAAGCAACAGACAACAATATACACAAAACCGGGGGGCGCACAAATTTAAAACGCAGCCGAAAAAACGATAACAGAAACGTTGTCAAAAAATTCAATTGAACTTGGAGAAACGATAATAGTAGTACTTTACGTCCGTAGTCTTTCCTCCATAAAAACATGGCCATACAATCTCGCCGAAAAAAAAAACGGATTCTAATAAATAATTACTCGACTGGCACGTATAAATCATGCCCCTGCAGCAAAGAGGGGCCGCCGAGCAACAGTTATCTGCGGCAAACTCACGAAAATGCAATCAAATCGCCATTTTCTCTCATTAGAAGGTGAAACGTACGATTACTGTGAGCCAATGGGACAGGGTTTTGGCCGCCGAGGTGTGGTCTGATTTATGAAAGCAAGCAAGTGTGTACCCCGCCGGCTGTGTTGCTGGCAATACAAAAGAACTTGGCGAAAAAGAAAATCATGAATGCCCAAATAAATAATATATGTGTTTGGGGAAATGTTGACGGATAAATCGGAGTCGTGGTGCGCGTTGATCGGATTCTACGGAATATTCAATCGCCTCAGATGACTGCCCAGAAAAACAGACCAAGAAGATACCGGGGCGTTCGTCCTAAAGTTACGATGACAGAAAAGACGTCGCTGGTTTCTGGCTGACTTTAGAATAGAAATCTGAATCAACTTTTTGGTACCAGCCCTTCCAACAAATTTCTAGAGCCTCACAAGAGAAGGTTCAAATAATATTTGTAGCCAAGGACCAAGGAGATTATACAAAAGGATGTATACGGTAGAATTTGAAGTCGTTATATGGCATTTTTTTTCATTTTCCATGTCATAAGGTGGAGATGTTTTACACGATTGGATTGCAAATTCACACGATTTGTCCTTTGGACCCCAGCTGTTTCTGCGAAGGAGCTCGGATTGTTTTTGAAATGCTGTGGCCGTGGGCACAAGCCCTAGCTACCCACAACACCCAGATGTAACAGGTCTCTGTACATTTCGTACCTAGCCAGATTACCCATTGCTTGGTGGCGAAACAACCACAACCATGGCAATACACGAATCCGACTGAAAAAACGGGGTACATTCTGGACGATTTTTGAACCCTCGAATCGACAAGTTCAGCTTGAGTGAATTTTGTAATACTTGTACAGTAAACACCACGCCTGCCTGGTTGAAATGTCTTGCATCCTTGGTAGAACTATTTGCGTAGCGCTAAACCCATAGTGGAGAAGTATTTTTGTGCCCGTGTAAAGTACTAGACCACCGCACTGCGTACTGTACGTGTTATTTACCCAGCAAATGGCGGCTCCCCGCCGGGCCACCCGTGCGCACGTACGAGCAACACCAACAAAAGTCGATTTATGACGAGCTTAAAATAGGCAAAAATCGGGGCTTCTGAATACTTTTTGATAACGTTACTTCCCGCATTGCCACAAGTTAACTGTTGCTTATGGAGGTGTGTTATAGGAAGGGAAAATTTGAGCCAGACGTCAAGATATAATTTTAGATCTAAACTGCACCCTACCTACCTACAACCGCTAATTGAATATAACATTGTGAGATTTCGGATAGGATATAAGGATGCAACAGATTTTACTGTACTGGTCTTGTTAGGATTTGAAGAACAGCGAGATTACATGGAAAAGATTATTAGTAGCACTCGATTTCTCATGTACAGAGCGCGTTAGGGCGCTACCCCGTGCATGGATTAAATATATGGCAAAACGGCAACGGACGCCCGCCCATACCATGAAGACTTTTGCGTCTTGCGATGTAGCGGACGCAAAATTTCACCTGAAAATAATTTTCCGTGGATCCACGGCCACCCCGTAGTGTCCTGACCAAAATTCTAGCGTTTCTATCGGCGAGCGCTTGAAAAATAGAAGATTTTCCATAGATTGACGTGCGCGCTATCTAGAGATACATACAAACTCTACATATAGTCCGGATTTTGCCATGGATTAATTGTACCACAATAGGTAATCGTGGCTTTTACATCGAGACATTACCTCCTCGCTTATATAGATGGGAACTAGAAAGGTCTTTAGGGATAATTGTCATTGGTGCAGCTGCGGTGTGTGGACGTAAGCAGTACAATGATGATTGGTAGGGTACTATTTCGCGCTGTTGCATAGAAACCGCCCCATATACAGTACCACAGCACGGAAATCCTACCAGAAAATTCCACGGAAAAGGGATCTGAGATCTCATACCTAAGAAACGTCTAATAACACTCAGGGCACACAGAGCCAACACAAGTGAAATGAAGAAGTCGACGTTCCGTACGTGATATTTGGTCATTTAAATCAACCCACACCGTAACCGAAACGGACCCTCTCAACTCGTGCTGGTGCTTTGGAGAATACTGAGTGTACCATATGCATCAGCAAGCTATATAAAACGACATTGCAAAAGACGGCATCAAAATACCTACATTGCCCCTGACTACGATGTTTATGCAAAAATCTCACATCATTGACTCCTATTTTAAAATTTCTAACACACAACTGGCCACAAGATTGCAAAGAGTCAAAGAAATCTGGAAGACTGGAAAGAGCGAACAAATCTTGTGAGCAAAGCGCGCGCTCATCAATTGAAGTACATTTGCTTGTGAGTGGTGGGGGCAGTTTGGTCTACTATTTTTACTCTAAGCTAACGGCTTTATACAACAACCTACGGTCACCAATAACAACCTTACCCAACACTGCGACTCAAAAGACATCACATACAAAGGTTGCAGCGCATGTTAATCTAGTTTAGGAAATGCTGAAAGCAAAATTTGATCACTGGACTCCTGCTTGGTAGAAACCCTTGTCCAAACAACATGGCACCACTGTGATATCGTGTATATTAGCATATAATACAATTTTAGATACAACTCTAATGTGTTCAGAGCTTGAATGTTGGCGATCCTTACAGAAAGACCACAGTGCCTATCATCGTTCTTAAACCGCACCACGACAGCCTGCTTCATACAACACGTCCATTGTTGAACCCGCCAATTCAAAATGGCTGCAGCACGTCGCGCGGTACAAACCAGCAAACCGCGCAACAATCCACTCACAAACCGGCGTCTCCCGTCAAAACCTACCGCAGAATTTACACCTAAACAATTTTCCCTCATCCCCAACGATACTGCCGATTATAAATGTGAGGTTTGCTGCAATTTGAGCGGTGAAAAAAAGCGTTAGAGGCAATTTTCTCTCCGTCGTTTGTGTAAAAGACAAACATTTTCTGTACTATCCACTGCGTAATGCATACACTACACTGTAGACTTGACGGCGTGCAAAATTTTGCGCCACAAATTTACATTTTCTTCCATACAATTCATAAATGGACGCTAAAATTAGATACTGGCTTGGTATCGAAGGTTTTAATGAACGTTATAGTCTCTGCTGGTCGGTGGAACTGCCACATGCACTACACAGACAGAGATACACATCCAGCGAGCGCCTGTCATACTGACCGATTTTTGCCCGCGCTCGCCAAGGCGGCTCCGCGCCCCGGTTGTCGGGCGGGCATGGCGGGCGGGCCGCAGACACCCAACAGACGTATCGCTGATCTTGGCCAAAATCGATACATCCGTAATTTCGCCGAAACACTTTAATCCAAACGATTATATCAACGGTATGGATAATCTTTCACCTAGTTACGCTTAAGTTGGACGGGGAAAACTGCTGAAATCGCAAATCGCTACTTGATAAAAAGAAATCCCCTAACTGTACCCCCATTGAATGACAACAAGAAGGGGTGCTCTCCTCGACGGAATTCATGGAAAACAAGCCAAGAAAATTCTATCAGCAGTAAGAATATTTGTCACTGTAACACTGGTCTCCTCAGAGTTTCCATGTCAAGAAAAAATAACTTTCCTCAAGTTACTGAAAACCCACAGAAACGCTGGTTGAACAGATACAGGAAACGTATACGTGCTCTACTCTAGTGGCAAGATATCAAATTTGACCAGATAATATATCTTGACGAACCTGACAAAGGGAACGATTTTCATTTGTTAGGAACGGTTCGTTTTAAAGCACACGAATATGATTATGAATGACATTTTTTTCTTAGTTTTATTTCGCAGCGTATAACTGCAGACTGTGCGGGCAGTAACAAGAAACGATAATAAAAACTAAGCCGTCCGTCTGGTTTGGCAACCTCGTTCATCAATTAACTATCCAACGTTAAATCGCAGTTCCAAACGAACGGACTAAATATGAAATGTCATGGCGAAAATCGCAAAGGGATGGCATAATTGTCCTTCGTTTTTATTGGTTAA